ATATATATATATATATATATATATATATATATATATATATATATATTCGTCGCGATGAAAAGCCGCGTGCCTTGATCGAATTTCACCAAGGCGAGATTTATCGCACGACACGAAAAATGTCGTCCGTGATAAACTTCTCGAGGATGTGAAATCATCGTCATTGATAGAAATTAATTTTTCTTCGCGTGAATTCGTATGCAACAGTGACTCGCAGCGCGCCTGGGCGTTCCCCGTTCTGATTATGGAAGCGGAGCTAGACGTTGTAGAATCATTCCTGGAATGTTCCTTCATTTCAAAGAGCAATAAGACTTTTCCCCTAAGGTATGTTTAAGATGAGGCGATTGTAGAAAATCATAAGAGAGAAAAAGAAATATACGGGTATATGAGAGGAAAAAAGAACCGTGGCCAAATTGCATTCGAATTACCCGGTGCATGGAATTTTCATTTCCACAGAACGTGTTATTATCTTTGTATTTTTTTTTTTTTTTTTCGTTTGAATGTTCAGAGGGAATTACACTGTTCACAGAGGAAAAAATAAATTGAAGAAACGCGAGGTCTTCGAAACGATGCACAATTAGACAGATCATACGATAACGATTTTCCACGCGATTGTCAGTGAAGCAGATGTTTAAAATAGAGTATGATGATCATGAAAAATGTAACGAAGTAATGAGAGAATGTGATAACGTTTAAACATGTAATCAGGGTACAAAGGAACTCAAGTTTGGAAACTTGTAATCGACGATGTTCTATATATGAATATTGCATAAGTATATATATGAATATACATTATATATTTTTTCCATTCGGATTGTCATCTAACGAAATTGTATATATACGTACGTATATACATATTGATTACACGTAACAATGTAATTACGATACTTTTGTTACAACTAAATAAATTATAACTTTGAAGTATTACGCAACCTTTCCCTTTCTCGTGCTTTAATCGTATTCCTTTCTATTTAATGTTTTAGTAGTACGAGTCTGTTTGTGTCAGACGCGAATACTGAAATTCGACAAGCGTTGACGACTTGTCTGTATAACTGACAAGCGAAAAAGAAGAGAATCGAATCCGTGTTATATGGAGAGTCGAGAAAGCGTTATATTTGCAAATATTTGCAATCAATTTCGTACATATAAATAATAATTATACGTTAAGAGTAGTTGATTAAAATTTCGAGAACTCTGCAATAATGGCTAAAGTCGTTCAGCAGAAAGAAATGGTAAACATATTACGTTACTAAAAAGTACGAGGTTCTTGACTCGCTTTTAACCAACAAAATGTCTGTTAGGACGAGGAAGACACAAGGCTGCAAGAAGAGCTACTCCAATTAGTCGACGTATTGATGGTAATAATTAATTCATTTTCTCAACCATTATAGTTTCCGAGGGAAATTAGTATTCAAATCCAATTGATTGTATGTTCTTTTTCATTAAAACACGAGGGGAAAGACGAAAATGCAATGCTGATATCCTTGAGCCAACTTCGATTACTCATGCAAACCTCGACAACCTCGATGACTTCCGTTCCAAAACCGCTCAAGTATTTAAAGAATTCGTACAATGATATGAAGCACGCGCACAAGAAGATTCAGACGAAGGATTTAAAACGACAATTCGCGGAAGTATTGAGCGTGTTATCGATGGCCGGGGCACCGCCAAGCTCTAAAGAATGTCTTCGATATTGCATCGAGAGTAAAGCGACGAACCCTGGCGAATGGGGTCACGAGTACGTCAGGCAGCTCGAAGTTGAAATTGTAGACGAATGGACGAACGCTCCTGTGAAAGACGAAGATAGTATCAGGTACCTTAGATACTTGAAAATGGCGATAGTGACAAAAAAAAAAAATTTATTTTGCTTATTTCCTTTCCCCACTCATACAGAACAAAGCTCACCCCTTTGGTGAAAGGTATCATAAAGTTTGACATGAAGCACAACGCGGAAATAGCTGGATGCGATCTATGTCTGGAGATCGATCAACTGAGTTTCTTAAACGCATATCTGGATAATACGAATTTCGCGAGAGTGTGTCGATACTTGGAAAGCTGTGCAGCCTACAGGTGAATTTTCTAATACGACAGAATAGATCTCGAGAACTCGATCTCGTTTCTTATTTCTTTCAAATGATCAGTGAGGACATCGAGAGAAGGCAAATATTGCAGATCGTGGCCGGTCATTACTTACGATTTCAAGAATATTGCAAAGCAATGTTAGTAGCCCTTCAATTGGCAGATTCGGATCTCGTGCACAAGTGTCTCACCACTTGTTCTGATAATTTAATGCGAAAACAATTGTCGTTTATACTTGTGAGACAAAGGGTAAGGTCGCGAGCCATTCACAAAATTCAACCTCTCGTTCACGGTAATCTATTGCTCGTCAGGGGAATCTGTTGAAAAAAGATTATCAAGGAGGCGACGCCAAGGATATCGAAGTCATCTTAAGCAACGGTCACGTTAGCAATCATTATCACTTACTCGCGAGGGAACTCGACATCCTGGAAGCCAAACACCCGGACGACATATATAAAACCTGGTTAGAAACTAATACCCTGAGACGAGCGGAACACGACTCAGCGAGGGCCAACCTAGCAGCTTCGTTCGTT